GCCCTCAGCACCTAACCTGGCTCTCTCATGTGGATGTGTGCAAATGATTTCAAAATTTTTATACTGAAGTGCTAGGATCCAGAACTTCCGGGGAAAGTTTAAAGTAACGAATACTCTCCTGAAAGGAAACATTTCAACTAGAAATACACTGAAGCTAGGAGGGGTAACTTAGCTACTCAGTGAGACCCTGCCTTAACATAGTAACAACACAAAAAGGGCTGGGCATGCAGCTCAGTGCAAAGGCCCTGGATTCAGCCCCTAGTGTTGAGCACAAAAAAAATCACTAATTTCTCAGAATGCATTAAATTGATCTCTAACTCAGAAAGAATCGTAGAATGTACATTTTTAAAAATATCATTGCTTTTTTTTTTTTTTTTGGAACAAGGTCTCACTATGGAGTTCAGGCTGGCCTCAAAGTCATTATGATCCTCCTGCCTCAGCTTCCCAAATGCTGGGATCACCGGTGTATACCATGCCCAGCTGTTTTTTTTTTTCTTTATAGCCACATTTTAATACTAAAAATGAGAATCTATAGCTTTGATTTTCTTGGTGAAGGTCAACAAATTTTCCTTGTATCACTAACCCCAAATTATCTTTAATAAATGTATCTAAGAAACTAACATAACTTGTAGTGATTTCCAAACAAAGGTGCAGGTGATAGTGCTTTTTGTCTCTTCTTCAAAGTCTTTAAAACCACAGTCAAGAATTTCACCATTAAGTTTTAAAGTTACATATGACTTTTCACCTCACAGTGCTCTTTTCCCCACAAATCCATTCATAAGGTAACTGTTTAATTATTTTTTTTAAATTAAAAAAAATCATCCAATGCTTTAAGCAAAAGAAAATTTAAGAATAATTTTTCCGGACTCCGGGTCCCAACATTTTTTTGATTCTCAATGCGGTAGCCTTCACATTTGTTACCATGGATTTCAAAAGAATTATCTACATTTCTAAAAGCTATTTATATAGAAAGACAAAGAGAACAGAATGAAACTGGAGTCTCTCCATAGCATTGTCTTTGGGGTCCAAGCAGCAGGAGTCATGGTAGGACCGGAGCGGTACCTGGCCAGGTTCCAGTGTCTGCTTCACACTGGACAAAACTTTGAACTGAGGCCGTGGTGTGCCTTAGTGCTAGTCCTCACTAAGTCCTCACTAAGCACGCCGAGGCCCTAGGGTCCATCCCCAGGGCATGTGGCTCACAAGCAGGTTGCTAATCAGAGCCTTTCCAGCTTTAGAGGCCAGTGACCTGTGACGCTTCCAACGCATTTCCAAAGATGCTAAGAACACCCAAATAGTTTGTTCTTTGCGGACAAAATGGGCCGTTTGGATGGTTTTTGATAGAAAATATCTTGGAAGGCAGCAAGGTATCTTTCCCTGCTTGAAGCCCGGTTTCCTTTCCAGGGGCTTCAAACCTTTCAATTGTATCTCATTTATTCTTCTCAGCAGGAATCAGAGCCAGTTCCAAGACACTGCATCTTCCATCATCGGACTCCCATTGCAGAATCGCTCAGCACAGAGGAGCCCACCTGTTCCCACTCCATATCAAAATTCAGCCAAGATTCCTTGATATGGGGCTGTTACAATATTTCCTGAAACGCAGAGCCATTGAGGGTATTTATGGGCTACTATTAATATGCACTACAATATAATTTAATTACCCTGTAAAATAAGGACACATAAGGGCACTTTTTTCTTTTTGATGTTTGGTTAAGCCTTGCAGGGAAAATGGCTCAACTTTAACTCAGCTATATTTCTATTTCTGATGATTTAAAAAAAATGAACATCATTGGCTGGATGTGATGATGCATGCTTGTAATCCCAGCATGCGAGAGGCTGAGGCAGGAGGTTCATTGAGTGAGACCAGCCTGGGCTATCTTGTGAGCTCAAGGCCAGCATGAACTACATAGTGAAGCCCTGTATTTAACAAAACAAACAAATAAACAAAAACCATAGAAATAAACTATAAGCAATAGGAAATTGCTTCTTTTCAAAGCATATTGGAAAATAAGCCATATTCAAAAATTATTTGATATTTCAGCTTCTGCAATGATTGATATTCAGTGAACACTTCTTCTAGGTACTTATCATCAATACAAAAGCTGCTATCAAAATGCATAAAGGGAGCTGGGCATGGTGGCATATGCCTGTAGTCCCAGCACTTGGGAGGCTGAGGCAGGAGGATTGCTGTGAGTTCAAGGACAACCTGGGCTACAAAGTGAGCTCATTGCCAGCCTGAGCTGCATAGTGAAACCCTGTCTCAAAAAGAACCCCTCCCTCCAAAAATGTATAAAGGAGCTGGGTATGGTAGCACACCCTTGTCATCCCAGTTACTTGGAAGGCTGAGGTAGGACCCCAAGTCCTAGTCTTGCCTGGGCAATTTAGAGATCTGTCTCTAAAAAAGGGCTGGCAATATATAGCTCAGTGCTCTCTGGGTTCAATTCCTAGTACTGCAAAAAAAGTAACAAACAAAAAACTCTAAGGATGCATCTAAAAACAAGTTACATTTAATATTTTGGTTTAGTGGTCAGGTCATGATTTTTTTTGTGCTTTCCTTAGTGGGGATTTGGGTTTCTAAGTCATTATCTCCAGATCGTGTACACAGGTGTGAGCTATGTCCTTCTGGGTAGCAGAGACAGCTGGGCCCACATCTCTACACTTGATTGGAGGTTTTTTTTTAAAAGGGATTATTCCTCTGGAAAGGTACTGCCCACCCACCCCCTACCACCACGTTGCTAGCAGGATGGTCTCAACTGTGGTTAAAATTTTAAATTGAAAGTGAGCATTTAATACCAAAGAAAACATAAATTTCAGAACTCTTGTGTTACAGGGCTTCTACACACCGTATTGATTTAATATATTTGGGGTGAAGAGTTGTGTTGTAAAACAGCTTTAAATACCATCCCCAGATATAACAGCTGGACTTAATGGTGGAGATGTTTTTCAGGTCCTGCATATTTATGTACTGCATTTTAAAAAGAAGCCAATTCAATTAAAAACTCCCACACACCCAAACGGCCTTATGCAAGATTAACAAAATCTGAGTATGTCAGCTAAGTCAACAAGTTAAATAAATTATATTGCTTACGCAAAGATGAAATGACTTAATTTTTAGTTTACATTTCCCAGCTACTTAAAGAGTAAACATTTGTCAGTTTTCAGAATTCCACTTACTTTACCGGGAAGAACTGAGGCTTTGTTGTAACTGATGCTTACTTGTAAGACCTCACAGTTTTTGCAAGCCGTCAGGTTGCAATCCTAGGTACTACAGTTCCTTCCCTAGTGTAAGCCCGTGTCTTTTATTTATACTCTGTCGCGTTTTATTTCAACTTTTTAGGTTGAAGTATGAAACTGTATCCGTGTTATGCAACAGTATTTTACATTTGCAACATACATACCAGTTTATCTCTCCCTGAAAAACAAATACAGTGTATCAAGAAAGAATGAAAGAGAAAAAAAAAAAAAAAAAAAACTACCACCGTGGGGTGTGTGCAGAACGTCTAGACGTGGAGAATAAAAGACATTAAAATAGACGTGTGTGGTAGAACGATGTCCTGTTTGACAACAATCCCAGTGATTTATTAACAACCACAGGCAGCCAATGATGATACGACAAGGTCCGAGGCTGGCCATAAGTTGGTAACCAGAGGAAACAGGGCTTTAAGGGTTTGTTGTTTTTTTCAAAGAACATACTGTGATTTAAAAAAAAAAAAAACACAAAGCAAGCCAACCAAAAAACCTGAAGAAAGTGCTCCACTAGAGCCTCCCTGGCAGCTCTGATGGAACCAAATGACTCAGGTGGAGGATCAGAATAAACTCTGTGACGTTCTTTCACTAGGTCTATAGAGTCCATAAATTATGTTTGGCCCAGAAAGGAAAAAAAAAAAAAAATCAGGCGTTATTCGTATAGCACCTTTCTTTCCTGTTTTCAAATTCTACACATTCAGCAACAGTTCCTAGTCCGGGGGCTTCCTGTATCGCCTGAACACGATCCTGGGTGCCTCTGAGCGATCGCTCCTTGCAAAGTGGCCTCCCGCGACAGCAAAATAAAATGCCCCCTCCGTGGGGCGAGGGGCGAGACCGTGCCAAGTCCCCCAAAGGTGGAAGCACCTCGCTCTTATTTACTTATTTCTTCTGGAGGCGGTGATGGCGGAGGCCAGGCTCGGACGCGGCTAGGGTGGTGGCGGGGGTCGCGGCGGAGGTGGGGGACCCCGCGTTCTGCCGGCGCGAC